TGAGGAAAAAAGATTAAATAATTTTTTAATAAATAAAGGAATTGAATGGTGTTTTATTCCATCGCTTTCCCCATGGGCGGGAGGAGTTTATGAGCGTTTAGTTAAATTGGTTAAAGACTCCTTTAAAAGAACACTAGGAGGTGTTATATTAAATTTAGAAGAGTTAAGAACCTTCATAAAAGAGGTTGAATTTTCTATTAATTGTAGGCCTATTTCTTTTGTTTCTGGAGAGATGGATGGACCATCTTGTCTTAGACCTGTTGACTTTCTCTTGCCAAATATTGAAATTAATGAAAATATAAATGAGTCAGATGTAGAAGAAGAATTTAAAATAGGAAAACTGAGTATGGGAGATCAATTAAGAGTACGATTAAAAGCCACTCAAAAGGCCTTTGAAAAATTTTGGACGAGATGGACTCGCGAATATTTATTGATTTTAAGGGATAAATCGAAATGGACCCATAATAACGATCGGACTTCACTAAAAAGAGAACCAAAGGTTGGGGAAGTGGTGATTGTGCAACAAGAAGGCCAGCCAAGGAATACTTGGAGTTTGGGAAAAATTATTGAGCTAGATGGAAGCCCGCCAAAGAGCGCTAAAGTGCAAATAGGAAAAAGATGTTTAGTAAGGCCTGTCAATAAGCTTTTTCCGATGGAAACAAAAAATGACGTAATTAAAAATGGAGAAGAAAAAAGTGAAAATAAACTGGAGAATGGCCAAAATAATGATGCAAATAAAAATAAAATAAAAAATAAGGACAAAGAACAAAATTCAATAAATAATAATTCAAAAGGAATAAAAAATGGAGAAAATAAATTAAAAAATAAAAACAATATACATCCCATGGTCACCAGAGCAAAAAAGGCGACATTAATCTTGACAATTATAAATTTATTTTTATTAATGAACTTTGTATCTTCAAATCCCACTTATTTAGTAAGCTGCAGGGGTTGCAGAATGAAATGTAAAAATTTCGGATTATTAATAAGTGTCGGATCTGAAATTGACAAAGTAGAAGTTTGTTGTATGGGTACTTGTATAATCGAAACAAATGGATTGGAACATTTAGAATTAGGACTGCCAAAGGATGTAACGGCACTAGATTATAGATGTCGAGCAAAATATATAAATGGTCGACGAATATTTCGAGGAAGTATTTTTTGTCCGGCAGTAGATCCTTGTTTAAGAATTACAGAAATTTGGGAAAGGATATTAAATCCACAATGTGAATCAACAAAAACTATAACCATAGTTGGTATTTTCTTAGCATTTATGCTTTGCCTATTAATAAGCGGAATGGTTTGCGCTTGTAGAATTTTTTCAATATTAGGCAAAATAATTTTAATTATTTGGAGATTAATTAAAACAATGGCTAAAATTTCTTCTAAAAAAGATGGAAAAATTGAAAATAAGGACCTTGAAATACTTATTGATCGGTCCCATAAATTAAAGAAAATAAATAGAATAAAAAGGAATAGAAGATTAAACCGACTTGGATTATTAAATATAATTATTTTTATTATTTTTATGAAAATTGTAAAAGCCGATATTGAGGTTATTTCAATTCAGGCGAGATCGGAAGATTGTTATAGATACAAAAATTTAACAACTTGTAAAATTACCACTACTAATACCTTAACTTTATTACCTGATGGGCAGGTAATTTCCTTAACTTTAAAAAATGATAAAGGAATGATAATGGGTGAAATGGAATTTATTATGAATGGTCTTTCAATAAAATGTAACCAAAAATCTCAAAGACAATTGAGATCATATGAGCTTAAAGTTGGATCTGTTAAAAGGTGTCCAGCTCAAGGGACCTGTAAAGCTGGAAGATGCCAACATATTAGATCGAAAGAAAATGTTGAAGAGTTAGATGAATGGATTAAAAAACCAGGAAATTCATATTGTGTCGAAGGCCACGCATTATGGGGATATCAATGTGGATTACCTGGAGCGGCCTGCTATTTCTATAAAGTATATGCCGAACCAATTTCTGATGAAGTATATGAATTGGTTTCGTGCCCTACTTGGGATTACGTAATTGATATAGAAATGTCAATGAGATTTAAGGGAAATATATCAAAATATAGTTTTTCATTAAGTCCTGGAGCGACAATAAAATGGGATAAAATTAGAATATCTTTATTAGATATTACTCCACCTATGGCCCCAATTTTGAGCAGTCAATTTATAATTGGTAACAATGGAGTAGCAATGGTAGATAATTTTAAATCAGATTTAGAGTGTTCTGATGCCAAAAATTTTTCAAAATGTGAATTAGATATAAATTCTTGTAAAGAATGTTGGTTAGATAAAGAAGAGGAACAAATAAAATGTGCTTGTATTGATTTAATAATTGAGGAAATATTTAAAGACAAACAAAAATCTTTGCCTTTAGATACAAAAAGGATTAAATTAAGGAATAATGGAAGAAATATATATTCAGAAACAAGTTATTTACCTATAGAAATTATGGTTAGATTTGAGAATTATTCTATAGCTTCAAATATAGATATTTCTATTTGTAAAATTGAACCTATTATATTATCGGGTTGTTATAATTGCTTTGGAGCAATTTTTAAATATAAATGTTTTTCGGACTATGGAAGTCCTCTAGCGGAAATTAAATGTAAGAATGGTAACATTTTTACAAGTAAATGTTCAGTAAATGGGACTGAACAAGTTTCAGTTCTATCTTTTGATAGAACAGAAGTAAGAGAGTTTTGTGAAATTTTTTGCCCTGGAGGCAAAACAAACTTTACAATACAAGGAACACTTGAATATATTCTCCCAGAAAAAGCTAAAATTATAGTCAAAAATGGAACCCCAAGTTTATACACAATGGAAAGTGCGTGGGGAAGTATTTTTGACAATTCATGGACGAATTTTAAACTTTTGGACATACAAGGATTATTTTGGGAAATGATGAATATTAAAATAATTTCGATTGGAATTTTAGTCATCATTATCATTTATTTCATATTAAAAATTTTTTTAAAAGCCAACCCAATGTTAAAAATGTATAGATTAATCATAACCAGCTGTTTATTGTTGATAACAAATTTGGGGGCGGGAGGTTTTGGAGAGACACCTCCAAATTTTAAAAATTTTGTTGAGATGTCAAGGGGGCATTATTTTTGTATAAAAAGGTTTAAAAATTTTAAATTTTATTCACTTTCAAAAAATCATTTAAATTTAAAAATATTCATGGCCCCAATTCCCTTTACTCAATTCGCTGCTAATATTTTAAATTGTGATTTAGAAGATGTCTATGGAAGACTTTATTTTAGCCGTTTGGATCGGAATACAGTTGCTAATGAAGCAAGAAAGGTAGAAAATAATAATGGAAATATTTATTGTTCTACTAATGAATTTTCTTGCCCAAGGGGGGTTATAACTGGATTAGCCGAGTGGATATTGGTTGACGATAATAAAAATTTGGCTGTATATCCGGAACAAATCCCTCCACAATGGTGGAGTGAATTAATTAAAAGAAATAGGATGAATACTCAAAATTTCTTTTATGATGAGGAAGTTTCTAAAACAATTGATATGGGACCAGGGATAGAGTTAGAAAATCCTCTGAGAGGTGTACTTGAGTTTTATCCTTTGGAAGGATTAGAAATAGAAGAATATATTGAGGAAGAGGTCCCAGATATGGATAGATTAAATATAAACATTGAAAATAATAATAATAATATTCAGAATAATTATGGTAGTCAAACATCTGCACGAGCAACTATGGAAGTTGAGGTTAGTAATGGAAGTTTAAAAAATATAAAAATGGATTTTATTCAGGAAAAATTAGTTGTTACTATGGAAGCCAACTCGGATCTTCATTGTTCAAGCAGCGGATCTGAGGTATCCACTGTAGAAGTGAAGGTTAAGGCTAAATTGTTTCGTGGTCCGTTGTTGGGAATTTTTTTCTTATGTTTGGTAGTTAGGACATGGACTCCCGCTATGGCAGCACCAAACAGCAACACCCCAACAACACCCTTAGGGGACTCCAATTTGGATACGGAGGACCCAGAAGCATTTGAGGAGTTGTGTGATGCGTTTTTGGGCACACACAATTCTTCTGTGCCTCAAGGGGAGGCACAGGAGAATGCAACCAACACATCACAAATGTATTCAATCTTCGATCAATTAATGGATAATTGGGCAACACGTAACCAACACTTACCAACAACCTCAACAACTACAACTAGGCCAATCCAATTTGTGCCTCAAACAACAACAACAACACAACAAAATGCAGCTATTACCCAACAACAGCAACGACAACATGTTGGTGGTCCGATTCGTGCGCGAAGGCAACCCAGACAAAATTCAAATCAGGGTTGTTTCATTTGCCACGCTTCGGATCACTTCGCCAAATATTGTCCAGTAAAACAACCCTGCAGCAGCAACACGTTAATGCAGCGGACAACAAATCCCCCCAGCAACACACACAACCAGGACACCCAAACAGCAATGCGAAGCGTTGCAACACAATTAACAAGAATGAGCCAGCAGTGGACAAACATCCCTGCCATTTCAGCATTTCTACTTCAAATGGCACAATTCATTCTTTTGGCATTGGACGCTCCGAGACGACACTAATTGGTGGCCGGGAGTGTTTCCAACAGAAAGAAAATGTTTGGAAAGAATTGAAAGGAATTTTTGGGCGGAGAATAAAATAAATAAAAATATATTTTTATGATTAATACGTTTTTTCCCACGCAAATTTCACTCTTTTTAAACCGTCAAATTTTGATTATTTTTCAGTCGCTTTTGAATTTCGAATTTTGGAAGAAAATAAATATTTTATTGTGGAAATAAATTTGAGAGTTAAATTAAGGGGCTTTAGAGAAATTACCCTAGAAAATATATAGGAAGGAAAACCTTATAATTAATTTTAATATTTTGGTTTTCATAAGGGTTGTAGCACTATATTTTTGATTTTCGGATTCGATTTTTGCGTAAAAAACGTACCTATCGGCTTCTTTTAAATAAACCTCTCAGTATGTAACAAAGAATTTTTATTAAATCTCGATAACTCAGAATCTTCGGTCTTCAAATTACGCATTTGCACATTGTTAACACTTTTGCTTTCAGCTTTCATCTGTTTTATCTTTTCGCTTTCATGTTTTATCGCTTTCATCTGTCGCGTTTTATGTTGTTCCGCCTTATTATCCTTACATTTTCTTTTATCTATATTACGGAATACCCTTTTCTGCCCAACCTACATAGTATATATTTTTCAACATTGCTAAACACTACTTTTATTGAAGTGGTTTCTAGAAAGATTTGTTTCAGGGATGGTTCGAGTTACCCAAAACCTCGACTCAGAACCTCACCCATCCTTAATTTATATCAATGGAGAAAAGCAATTAATTTTTTGTTTATTTTTTAGAGAAAAACATTAAAACATAAGCACATTCAGCCCGTTTTTTTATTTCTAATTTTCATTGTTTTCGAATGCTTCTCTTTATTTTAATAGCTTTTTTACACTTTTTTAGGTCATTACCTCAGCATTTTAATCCACTTTTACGCTTTATTATACTCATTAAAATCCTCCAATTTTCTCCATTCTCTTGAGGCATTGAAAATATATAAAGAAAATAAATTTAATTATATTTTATATTTTAATTAAAAATAAATAGAAAATTAAATAACAACTCAAAAATATGGAAAACAAAATGAAATTTGCAGAAAAACGACAAACTCTGTTGGTTGAAAATTCTGAAAATGTAAATTTTAAGGTCCTTAGAATTTAGAGTTATATTTGAAATTCACACTAAAATTAAATTTAGTTTGAACTCGAAGAAAATATTAGATTAATCAGTAACCTACTATACGCAGAACTAGAATTTCCTTTGAAATTTGCCGTTTGCCCTTGTATCTAGAATTCGGAAAAACTCAGCCTATATAAAAATATTTCTTTTTTATCTTTTATGCTCAAAATGTCTTTAAAAAATTTAACTCCGACTATAATAATAATAGTCAATTATTACCATTAGTGACCGGGCCGGACTGGATCCGGCCGGATTTTTCCGAAAAAATCCGGCCTGATCCGGTCCGGTTCAAGTTGCAAATCCGGAATCCGGTCCAGAAAAATCGATTTTACCGGTCACTAATTAACATTATAATTACCATTTTAAGCTTCGAAACTAAAAAAATATTCAAATCGGAATTTGAAAATTGAAATTTCAGAACAACTCTGATTATAAAACTGGCATAAATTTGTATTTATATTTTTTAGAAAGAATTTTCAACACCAGCAGCAATAAAAACATCCATTTCCCATAGACCTTCTCCATACCTGCGAAGAGTTCGCCTTCCAAAACTTGACTTTACTATAGCTAAAACACCCTCTACAACGTTTTCTTTTAAAAAAGAAAACAAAAATGACGAAGATACTGATTTTTATGATAAAGAATTACCTGAGGATTTAATTTCAAAAATTAAATTGATACAATTAAAGAATGAACAAATTTTTATTGAAAACCAAAAAAGGATTGGGAATGTTAATGAAAGGATAAATAATGTAATTTTTGATATATAAATTTGGATATAGGCTAAAAATATTTTTCGAATTGTGACTTCGCATATAAAGACTGAATGTTTTAGGAAATCATTTTAGAATATTCAGGTGATTCCAGACGTCTTGGGAATTCATTCCCAAGGCTTTTGTTCCTTTAGAAATGGCTCTAATCCCACTGCTCATGGTGTATGAGCAAGACTTATGAGTAAAGGAATAAAAGTTTATCAAAAATTGAATGTAACAATGTAGCGGTGGTCGAAGGAAATCAGATATTATCGGGGCTGGTATGATCTAATTTGACTGACGCTAATACTTTTAGTTTGTCGGAATCGGGAATTTTTTAAACTGGTTAAATTCGAACGTAAATATCACAGGGATTTTTGGCCGATTTTTAACGTTCTGCCTTTGGCTTTTTTTTAATTCGAAAAATTGACGTTCAACGCAAAATAGCCCTGGTAGCTAACTCCAAACCTTTAAGCAATTAATTACAATATAATTCTAATTCATTTTATTTTTTAGTATAAACCAAATGAACTATCAAAGACAGATTTAGTTGTTGATATAAAAAACAGAGATTTAATTAATTCTAATAAAATATCTTCCTCTATAATTAAACAAAAACGATCAAGAAATAATCGAAGGTAATTTCAAAATATTAATTTTTATTAAAATTAAATTAAATATTTTCAGTATTTCAGCCAATCCAAAATTAAAAACGCAATTTTAGACGACAGATACATATTTTAATTTTATCAACTGGATTTTTAAATTTCGGGTTACGTTCTTTTTTGTTATATAAATTAGTTTACAAATTTAGTAAAAGATTATTTTCATAAATTATTTATAAGATTTTTAAATTAAATATTTATTTTTCATAATATTTTTTAATATAAAAAATGTTATAAAAAATAAAATAACTAAATAAATTAAATACGCTTTAATTAAATATGCCCTCGCAGTAAAAGGTATAATAGGTACTATATGTACAGTAGATATTCCCTTTTAGAGTTGAAAATTTCGTATCTTTTAATGAAGGGTATGTACGATGTAGTGTTCGGCAAATGGATTTTTTCGGTACCGGTACCGGGAGTACCGAAAAGTACCGATTCGGTACTTTCGGGAGTACCGAACCGTGCCGAACACTAGTACGAAGCAAGGATCTAACCGACAAAAATTCAATTACCAATTTTCGGGAATAGGGTCGGCTAGATCCCTGGTACTTAGCTTGAGTTGACATCTGTTACCACTCAGTGGTTTATCATATTTAAAAAAACATGTCTTAGGTTCAAGGATTTACTAATTTTAGGATAGTTCAAAATTGTAGATATTTACCCCAAAACATTAATCACTTAATTTTTATATCTCATCATTCTGTGTCTCTGAGCTAGAAAAAGGCGATGTCTATGCCTTAAAATTTCATTCTCCGAAAGCCTTTGATGATTTTGACCTTCACTTCCTTTTTTAAAATCTTCCACATTTGTTAAAGGCCCAATACTTAAAGAAGTCCTTCTCAAAATATTTAAAGAAGGTTTTTCTTTTTTAGAAATTAATTGAAGTTGTTTAGAAGGGGGAATGGGTGGAATTGTTGTTGGACATTGCTCTGTGGTAGATATACAAGATCTGCTTTCGTATGATTTGCCTGAGCATCCTTAAAAATAAGGAGATTACCGTATTATCTCTAATAGAATGGCCCCCTGGAGGATGATCGAAAAATAGAATGGCCACCTCCATTTGAATGGCCCCTTCTAATAGAATGGCCCCCCTAAATTATTTTGAATTTTCCATTTTCTCCAAACTACTCGGTTTAATTTTTTGGTATTGCCTTAATAGATGGAAAAAATATAAGATTATTGCCTTGTGATTGAAAGCTATTATCCTCATAAATACATGTTCTAGAACGCATTTGTTTCCCACAAAAGCATTCCCCCCAATCAGTCCAATCACTCCATTTGGCTGTTGAACCAACTCGAGGAATGCTTCCATCTAGCCATATTGAACCTTTATAAATTGAGAAAATATATTTTTGGAATATTTAATAAATTATCAATTCAAAAAAAAGAAGGAAAATCGCCTTAAAATATTTTCAAAATTACAAAAATTTCAGACTAACAAGAAAGTTCGAATTGGGGTATTTTAAATTTTTGGTATCCACAAAAATCCAAGGATATTTAGAAGAAAGAAATTACTAATTTAGGTATTTTATTTATTCCTATCCAAATTGAAAATAAACTTTTTTGTGCTGGAACATCCTTTTACTCTCAATATAAAGTTGGCGGTTCCTGGGAAATTTTCGGGTATCCAGAATTGGAACCAATAACCAAACCAAAAATTTCCGGGTATCCGGGTTTCTCAGTTCCGGGTACTCGGAACCTCCAACCTTACCTCAATTCCGTTGATAATTCTCAGCTTTAAAATTTTTTTAAAAATAATTCTATTAAAAATTCACCAGGATTTTCAGTCAAAATAATTTTTTTATTAATATTTGTGTTGTTATTTGAAATTAAATTTCCTCTATTATTTCTTCTCTGAATTGAAGTTTTCATAAAAAGTATAGGTTTTGATGTTGTTGTTAAAATTGTTTGTTGTTCTTTATTGTTATTTTTCTTCTGAACAAAAGAATTATTTAAAGGAAGCGAGGGCTTTTTAGAAGGTAATTGAGGTATAGCAGCTGATGAAACAATTATTTTTTGATCTCCAATTAATATTGGAACAGGTCTAGGATTGTTTATATGCCTATGATTTTTATTGTTTTCAACTTTTATTGGTAAAACAATTTTTGGGGTAGCTGGAAGTTTTGTTGTTGTTTCTCGATTTGATTGCTGAAATTAAATTTAAAAATTCGAATTTTATAATCCTTTATTTCTTTAATATTTAACAAAGAAGATTTAGTAAAATTCAAACAAAAGTAAATAGAAGGATGATACAACTTCCGACGAGATTTTTCTGAAACAAAGGAGCGATCACTCACATCAGAGGGATTCTTACGTATTACCTCAATCAAAAAGTGTTGAATTTTATAGAACTATCCGTTAAGAAAGTAAAGCAACCTTTCAAAGAAAACTTTAAAAAGATAGTTATTTTGACCGAGATTTTTGTTCGAGATCTCGTCTCACAATCAGTTTACTCTCAAGTTTATAAAAAATTGTGCAGATTTATTGTGCCAGTATTAATTACTTAGGTAGTTTTTCTGATAAAACGACTCCGATCAATTAATGTCAGTTCAAGCTAAGATTACTTACATAGCTTAGAATAAAATAAATCTCTATATTTTAATTAAATTATAATAGGTATTTATTACTTACTTCCTTAACATTTTTTATTTCCGTTTTTCCTTCATTTCTTTTATGATTTTGGATTTTTTCAACTTTAATTTCAGCCTTTCCTTCATTTTCCTTATTTTTCCCTTCTTCCTTTTCTTCCCCAAAATCATCATCTTCTAACCCTTCTGTATTTTTCATTCTCTCCAAAACCGCTTCCATTGCATGCATTTCTGCTTTCAATTTTGTTAATTGTTTTTCTATTGTTGTCGATTGTGTTTTTTGTTTTTCTTGATTTTGTTGTTGAAGGATACGTTCCTTACTTTGATCAATTTGGAGTTGCTTTAATTTTTGAGCGGCAACCAATTCCTAAGAAGCAAAAATTAAACTGTTTTTTTTGTTTTTTATTAATACACCCAAATCCCACGATAATAAGCCCAAATCCCGCTTAATCCCTTGATACCCATCACATTCCCCTGTTATCACTCGATATCCCCTTAATCTACATAAATTCCACGAAATAATATTATCCATCGATTTTAAAAAGCGGTAAAAAGGCGGATTAACGAAAATAACTAGGATTTATATGATAAAACTCCGTATATTACTGCTTTAAAAATTACTTGGTTTACTCGAACTCGAGTTTTTCAAACTTGGCATACTCGAGCTCAATTTTTCCTCAATTACTCGGTATCCGACGTAGCTACTCCTTACTACTGCTACTATCCCCTCCATTCTTATCTAACCATTTTTCCTAACCATTATTTTTTATTAAAAATTGTTGAAACTTGCCTTCATTAATCTCTTCCTTTGATTAGCATTTAAATTCCCTCCTTTTTTATTTAATTTATTTTCATCTAATACATTATTGTTCTGTAATATTTTAGCCTTTTCTTTATTTATTTTAGGGTCCTGATTTGTTGTAGTAGATGTTGTTTTTGTTGTAGGAATTGTTGTAGCTGGTAGAGATGTTGAAGAAATAAGATCTCCAGAATCCTCATTTTCCTATTTAATGAGAAGTTTAGGGGGAAGGTGTAAATTAGGGTAGGACGAGACCGTTTAATTCCTCGTTTATCTTTCCCTGTGGCGGTCTTTTCCCTTCTCCCTTCTCTTTTTGACCTGCCAGAGGGGTCAAAAAGTCTCGTTTTAAACGGTCTCGTCCTGTAAATATTGAAAAAAGGATGTAAATCCTCCCAATTCCTTGGAATTTATCTCAAATCCACATCGAATATTTCTAGTTAATTATCTTCTTTATCCTTCACCTCCTATTATTACAACCTTCTAGTTGGTTCTCCTAGTAGGCCCAATCAGTTAAACTTCCCGCTATCCCAATACTATTTTCTTCATCCAAAAGAAGTATCTAAACTTCAAGTTATTTATTACCTCCAATTCCCCGGAGTGAAGTAAAGGCCTTCTTCTGTTCTTCACCTTATCTTCATCTACTTCACCCCCTTCCTCCTCATTTTCTTCTTCTTCCTCAATTTCCTGTTCATTTTCTTCTTTCGTATTTTTACCTTCAATTAATTTATTTTTCCGATTATTTGGAAGGATTTGAGGAGGTTGTTGTTCTAATGATTTACTTATTCCTTCAACCATCCATTCCAAAGCTCGGGCTGTATCATTACCGAGATTTGGTGAGATTACTTTCTGTTGTTGATTATTTATTTTTTGTTTTAATAACTCCTTCTTTTCTTTTTCAAGTTTTTGTGGACTGAAATTGCCAAATTTTATTAAATAATGGATTCTTAAACATAAAAATTCTCTTCTCTTAAGCCGGTTATTTAAAAATATACCCCAGAAAGTGTTGGAGGATCCTGATTAGGGTTGTCAAAATGGCCCTACTCGGACCGAAAGATCGAGTCGGGCCTAAGATATTAGGCACGACTCGGCCCGGCCCGACTCGAAAACGGCAACCCTAATCCTGATATATGTATCCGAAAATGTTCGGATATCCGCAAAGTTTCAGTTCGGATCCGGATATCCGGAGATTCCATAAAACCACTCCGGAATTCGAGCAAACACTGTAGTTTCGTATATTTCTAATTAACTGATAATCTAATTGAAATACAAATTTAATATTTCATGCCTTGTAGTAATTCCACGGGCATTATAAAATTCAAGTTTTCTTTGTTTTTCTAAATAATTAAATGTTGTTGTTGGTAACGTTGTTGTTGTGCTTGTAAATAATTCTGTTTTAAATGTTTTCTGTGGGGAAGTAATTGTTGTTGTTTTAATTGTTGATGTAGTTTCCCCTGTTATTGTTGATTTAAAATCTTCCTCCAATTTATTTTCTTCCTCTTCATTATTCTCTTCTTCCTCGCTTCCTTCTTCTTCACTTTTTCTTCCAGGCATTTCCTCATTTTTTAATTTATTTGCCACATTTTCGTTTTTTATTTGAATATTTTCAATGTTTTTCGATGCAAATAATTCTGGCCTTTTGACTGAAAATTTTTTCAACAAAATTAAAATCAAAGGGATAATCTTGGATAAAAAGATTATGTAGTGTATAACAAATCCTGCCCTATCTAACTGCATTTTCTGAGTATAATTTATTGCCTTTTTATTGGAGAGTGCCTTTCGTTAAATTAAAAAACAATTTTTTCAATTACCTTTTTCAACATTTTCTTCTCTCCTCGGTATCTGCTTTTCGTAAAGTTGTTTTAATGCCTCCCTTCTATCTTCAGCCCATGGATCTTCCAATTCAAATTGCTCGTGATTTGAGTTAGGTTCGAGTGGTATTTGTTGTATTCTCTGTCTGTTTGGTGGTATTTCCCCCAAAATATTTCCACAAGGGCGGATATCCTTAAATTTCAAAAGTGTGAGGAAAAGGTTTTTAAAGTACTCTGTTTGGGCCTAAACAGCTAAATCCTCTGACTGTATTACACGCACGAACACGCATTTGGATATTGTTTGTACAGTATGACCTTAACATATTTTTATAGAAATTAATTTTCTATTGTTTTTCTGAAATTTTTTTGAATAAAATAGGATCTCACCAAGCAGACCATGAAGCCCATACAGAGGCAAATGCTAAATAATAATGAATTGTTATGTGTTTATCATGGTATTTTATACATATGGCACAGTTTACAGTCAATCCCGTTTCAAGCTATACCCTTAGGACCGAAAAACATCTTTCCTTCCTTAAGTCTTCCTTTCCCTACTATTTTACCAATTAATTGTTTCTAATCGAAATATTTATTTCGTTTCGTTTTGATTCGGAATAAAATTTTCTATTCCTATCAGCCCTGACTGAGGAATCTAAAATGCTTATGTATAATAAAAGATATCCTTCAATCCCTCCCTTTTGAAAATTTTATTTTTTAATTAACATCAATTATTCAAACTCACTAAAATGTGCATTAGATGGAATAGGTCTAGGTGTATAAAATCCTTTAAATTGGTTCCACTTTCCTGTAGCTAATGGAAGTTCTGATCGAAGAGGGATATTATTTTTCTCTTGATTTTCTCCTGAATCATTTTGAGCATCTTAAAAATTTTTTTTTAATTTTTAAGCTATTTCTATTAAATTTTTAACTCAATATACCAATTTTTCAAAATTTTCATATTTATTATTACCAGTGCTTCGAAGCTCGTACCAAAATTCGTACTCGTACCTCGTACTCGTACTCGTACCTGGTACGAAGTACGAGTACGAGTACGAGCAAAAAAATGGAGCAGGTACGAAGTACGAGTACGAGTACGAGGCCAAAAAAAGTGAAAAGTACGAGGTACGAGGCCTAAGTACGAGCTCGTACTTCTCGTACTTGATGTTAATAGGAAAATCGAAAAAAATATATTTAATTCCTTTCATTCACCGTTATATGAGCGAGTGGCCGAGTGGTTAAGGCGTTAGGCTTCACCAAAGACGTTAATGAATTAAAGGTGGGTTCGAGCCTTGTCAGAGGGCAAGGGTTTTTCAAATTTTTCTTTCCATAAATAACTTATTTTATAAGTTTAATTTTGTTTTAAAAATTTTTCTATTTTTACATGGAGAAATTATGGGTTTTTGGCCCTCTAAAATTCTTAAAATTTTTTATTGTACCACTAAAAAGTGAGTTTTTTTCGCCTACGGCCTTCCGAAATTTTCAAAATTTTCGCCTGCGGCGCTGAAAAAATAAAAAAGTTTAAATATTGGCTTTCAAATTCTAGAATTTTCGCCTCCGGCGGTCAGAAATGAAGTTAATCTGGCTTCATGACCTTCAAAATTTTTCTAAATTTTCGCCTGCGGCGCAAAAAAGAGAAGAAATCTGAGGACATCCAAAATTCGCAAAATTTTTGAAAAAAAGGGATTTGAGATGAAGAACCATGTAAAGATGGAAATTAAATAAAAAATGTCGGATTTCGAGTAGCCCGACCCATTTCGGAGGAAATATTTGTCCTTGCACTCCAAAAAACTCAAAAATTTCGCCTGCGGCGCAGAAAATGGATGAAATTGGAGGATTTATAGCTTCAAAGCCTTCCAATATTCAAAAATTATCACATACAACTCTTAAAATTTAAAAATAGATGTCCTGGACTCCAAAAATCATAAAATTTTCGATTTTTTGTTTTTTTTCTAAAGTACGAGTAAGTACGAGGTACGAGTACGAGGTACGAGGCCAAAAATAGGGGTGGTACGAGGTACGAGTACTAGTACGAGGCCTAAAATAAGAGTGGTACGAGGTACGAGTACGAGTACGAGGCCAAAAAAAGAGGTGGTACGAAGTACGAGTACGAGTACGAGCAAATTTGAAATTTCGAAGCACTGATTATTACAACCAAAAAAATCATTTCCTTTCCTATACTATTTTCCGATTTTTTATTAATTTTTCGTAGATTAAATCTTTATTTTTAGAGGAATAAACATAGAAATTAGACTATTTTTGGATATAAAGATTTTAAAAAATCAATTTTAAATAAATTTAAAAACATGTAATATATTTAATAAAATTTTTCTAATAATAAAATGAATCTTGAGAATTTATTTTAATTGAAATTAGAAGAATAGGACAATTAACCGTACATAAGGTACCCTACATAAAAAATACACACTATAGTATGTCAATAGACATAAATGTTAGGGTTGCCGGCCCGATTCGGTTCGTTTCGAAGATCGAATCGAACATCGAATTTTGGCCCTTAAAAGACTCGAACGGCCCGGGTCGATAAAAATGAGGTCCGAAAAAATGATCGTACGTCGGCCCGGTTCGAAAAAGGCAACTCTAATTAATGGAGTCGAAAATGTGTTAGGTCGAGGACTAGGATACGAGTAAAATCATTCTAGGATCCCAAAATTATTGGCAGTATTTCAAAGTTTTAAATTTCATTGTAAATAATTTAAATCTTATTGTTCTGGTTAAATACTTACCTGTATATTTAATTTGAAAAATAACAATTAAAATAACAAACAATAGCCAAAATAATTTAATAAAATTTCTAATTTTTCTTTCTTCTCTATGTGCCATTCATTTATCAAGTCGAATTTATAATTTTAAAAATTTCAGAAAAAAATTTCTTCAAAAAAAAATTAAAAATCCGGTATATTTATCACAAATTAATTAGTGAAAATTAAATTATCAAACAATAAAAAGGAATTAATAAAAAATAAAATAAAGGGTTGTTTAGCTCCTAAAACGGCAAGGAAATAAATTATAAATTAAATAAAGGAAAGGAGGAAAGGGCGTCGAATTGTCGCAAAGATATATCTCTCCCTTTCTCTATATCCAAAAAGTAAAGTGCCGGGGATTCAAACAGTGAAAAAGACCCGAAATTTTGGAAAGAATAAAAAGAAACACAAAGATTAATTTCCGCGTACTCTCCAGAAAATAAAATTTATTTGGGGGGGGGGGGGGAATGACGTTAAAAGAAAAATAAAAAAATGTGGACGGAAGTTGAGATGAGGTTATGTATTGGGGCGTTAAGGGGTAAGTTAGACGTGAGCTTCTAAAATTGCGAAAATTTAATTTTTATTTACTTTATTTGTGCAAGTATATGTACATACCTATACTAAATTAGTTTAACAACATTCTCCAAAAATTTCTGAATTTTTGCTTTAGAATTTTTCAAATTCTAATCGAAAAACGGCGATATTTATTTGAAAAATTCTGTTTTGACAGTTTTTGTTTTACAGCTTATGAAATATTAAATAAAAAATTCAAAAATTTATAGAGGCTGGACTATACGACCCCTTACTCCCAAGCAGTTGTGGGTCGAAATTCCCATTTCCGAAAAAATTTTAATTTCCGACTTTCGAGCTAGTTCCGATTTCCGGCTCTTCCGATTTCCGACATCTCTGACCGTTCCGACCCACCTCTGGCCCCAGAATCATGTTGATTCTATATACATATGAAGATTCGTCTTGTTATTAAATTTGCAAATAAATAATATACCTAATAAAGAATAACCCTTAAAAGTTATATTTTTAAAGGGAAAGCTAAAAATAAAAGTAAAAGGGATTTTAATCGAATGGCATGCTTAATTGTGTAAAATTGTTTAAAAGGTAAAAAAAGATCCGAAAAAAGATTTTGATTGGATTTATTATTTTGTTGTAAACTGTTGTAAATATCCGGTTTCTTTTCCTAATTTTAACGGTCATTTATTGTTGCAAACAAGTTTGGAGATTTAAAATTTTAATTATAAAAATAAAGATTGAAAACAAAATTTTTTTTGTAAATCTCTCAGACGGCACACAAACAGTATTATAAATTTAAATGTGATACAACACCACTCCTGTTATAACAACACTCAATAGCTAATTTTAAACAAAGTTTTTTTTCATAACTACCCCACTCCCCCCAATTTGAGTTTTTTTGATTAACAAAAGAGAAGTAATCTTCCAGTGATTAGAAAAGTGACTCAAATAAATTATCAGAAACCCCGACTTAATTTTGGCCCGAAGATTTTATAAATGGCGACCGACCCGGATATCTTTTCTCAAGACGACCCATCCCTGGTGGTGTATGTGGTAAGAGTCTTTTATTTTTTAATTGATCCGGCTAATTACTTCCGGGATATTACATAATAAATAATAATTTATAAATAAATAAATTCTTTTAAATAAGTGAAAGTAAGCTAAAATGACTGAAAACTTTAAAATTGGGTTAATGCTTGATAGATTGCGAAAGAAAAAAATAAAAGAAAGAGAATTATTAACTAGTTAATTGAACAATGATTTTGGAGCTACGAGAATATTTGTGTGGCTGAATAAACGAAAAAAAAGAAAATTTGGCGATTTACGTAATTGGGAAAGCTAATAGGTATATATTTTTATTAATTTAAAAACTAATAATTGAAAATTAAATTTAAATGAGAATATTTTAAAAAAGTTTGATTTTATTGAAATATTAGAAAAATCGATTAACTTAAAAATTTAATAAATATTAAAAATAAAAATTCAGTTACCACCTTTTAGATATGTGCATTTAAATTGCTGATGGTGAGACACAAGAGATTAAAAATGGAACTTGTGATCAAAAATATTTTTTTCAAGTTCAAATCCTACGTGTTTCAGTAAATTCCTACTACGTGTGTGTGTTTTCAAGATTAATCCAAAG